GGGAAGGGGAAGAAAGATGGAGAAAGGGGGAGAGGAGCAGGGTACAAAAGGGAAGGAGGGGCGTGGGCGCAGAGGAGAGAAGGAAGGGGGAGTGGGGAAAGAAGGAGAGAAGGAAGATAGCGGAGGGGAAAGGCGGTCAGGTTGTGGAGTCTCAAAGTGGGAGAGTCGTGCAGACAGGGAAGGAGGAAAGGGAACAGGAGGGTTAGGGAGGCACAAGGGACATTACGGGATGACATAAACATTAAATCAACCTTTCTTTTTTTTTTTTTTTTTTTTTTTTTTAAGCTGGTGTTTTCGCAGACACGTACCTCTCCAACAAACCAAGACGGATAATCACATCGGCAAGTGTCGTGTTTGCAGACGCCACAAGTTGGAACAAATTCCTCCTCTTCATTGTGAAGTCGCCAGTCTTTTCCATCTCTGAGTTGAGGGTGTTAAAAATCTTCAACATCAGTGTCACCTGGAAAGAGGGTAGACAACACAAAAAGGGGAGACAACAGACATTTTAAGTAACCATGTTTTTTGCACACCTCTACGTCCAGACCCAGTCCGAACTGGGCCCAGTGGGAACTCGACACCATACACTCCTTTGCTGACTGGCTATGTATGCTCATTGCTTTCTTCGTGAAACATTGTCTCACCATTGCGAGGGATCAAACGGCTGGCGCGTATTATCTTCCTTCTCCATCTCCATCCCCCAACAGCTAGGACAAATCAAGACTCTAGAGTGAGACAACCACTCATCTTCAGTACCAGGATATCTAGAGCATTGCAAACCATTCATGTTGACAACAACAAGTTAAAATCCATGCATACCTCTCAAGATATCGGGTGCAGGGGAGTGAATGTGACAGTTCGTGAATGGGATGGGGATGAATCACAATGGGTAGGAGAATGGGTGGGTGGGGACTGGGGAGTATAAGGGTTGAATGAATGGACAGAAAGGATGATGGGAGGTAGATGTGTGTCCAGGGGAGAGTGGTAGCAGAGGATGGGATGGGATGGGATGGAATAAATTGGGATTGGGATTGGGATTGGGGTTGGGGTTGGGATTGGGATTGGGATTGGGGTTGGGATGGGGATGGGGATTGGTATTGGGATGGGACAAATGGTCAAACAAATGATGAATAGAATGCAGGCACAGACTGAAGTGAGCCAAAACCAAGGAGAATGTATAGCAGAGTCACAGATAGACAAAGTACGACACCCTTCCGAACACCTCACTGCATCTGGATAAGGTAGATAAAGGGGCATAAGGAGGTGGAAAGGGGGCATAAGGGGCAAAAGGAGACAAGGGCGCACATAAGGGGGCATAAGGGGGCACAAGGGGGCACAAGGGGGCATAAGGGGGCACAAGGGGGCATAAGGGGGCACAAGGGGGGATAAGGGGGATAAGGAGGGATGGAGGGGAATAAGGGGGCATAAGGGGGCATAAGGGACATAAAGGGACATAAGGGCCATAATGGGGGCAGGGCATAAGGGGTCTCTTATACACATCTAGATGTGTATAAGAGACAGCAAGGTCGTAGTTGCTACCGTATTCGAGAGGCCA